TCTATAAAACTCATTGTTGACGCAGAACTATATTCGACGCTTCACTTCCTAGATGTTGTGTTATAAAGAAGGGGTGATGGTTCATTGCAGAGGTCAGTCTGCAGTAAACCAACCTGGGCCAAATAGTTCCTCAACTTTAACAGCTGAGTACCTCTTCGATGGAAAAGAAATCTTACTTAGAGAATCTGCCCAGAAAATATGGCTGATGGTGAAACTGACAAGCACTACTAAATAATGGACATCGCAGAAACTTAAAGAAACAAATTACCGGCACCCAGTTACAGTCCCTGATGCAATAGTAGTTATGCGTTTGGGATTGAGACGGGATGTTACAGCTAAAGCATTGACAGGTCCCCTGTCGAAGTGCACCAAGACCACTTTCTACGGTGCTAGCCTACGGTTGGTATTCTTCTTTTGATTAGAAAATACGTGAAGGATAGGTCGCTGCTTACCCCCATATCTACATGTATTAATAAATAAACATGCTGCCGTGGAACTGACTATATGAATGTTGGGAGTGGGTTCACTGGTATCTGGCTATCTGGTTTGGTTAGCCAAAATAAAAACAACCACTTCATCCAGGCTGTTCAACTCCATGCAAATCACCCTTCAAGGTAATTAGTAGAGCTACGTTGAAGTAATACAACAGTTTGTGTTCCTACCACTTATGCAAAGTTAAAGCACTAGCTGTGAATGATCGGAAGCCTAAACTCTGTACTTGGAAGCGTTTTGTAAAACCCCTCTCGATACCTTGGCCATAGCGTTGAATTTTTTATTTTGCTACGTTTGTTTCACTTTGATTGCTAATATTATAATCAGATTACGCTTTTTTGAAAGTAATCGAAGTGTATTGCACCATTTGAGATCAGTTGTTTCTTTTTAATGACTTTTTGTACCTTGTTTACTAACACCACCTCTAAAACAACCAATTGTATCAAGCGTACATTGAATGAGCAACTTTTTAGTGCCACTGGCTTTTTGCCTGTTATAAAAACAACTGTATAGCATAATAATAAAGTCGTTGAAAGGAAATAATTATTCACTAATACACAGATTTGTACTTGAAGGTATGTAATTAAATGTCCGAAAAATACATTTACCTGTATCTCTCATGTAACACATTTGGGTACAGTACATATAGTTTTTGTCACGAATGAAACAAAAATCTGACATCTAGATGAAGCCTCGTGACTTTTCTGATACTATTCTTCACAAGTTGCAGATGTGCAGCCGGAGACCACACATAGTCGTCACGTTTTGATTCCATCATATTCCTACTGAGGAATTTAAGAGCACTAACGTCTGGTGTTCAATTTGATACTTCTTTACTTGTAAGCTGATAAGGAATAAATACTAAACACGCAAATAGAAGGAAAGTTATCAGTCAGCCAATCAACCAACCGATAAGAACATGGGACCTAGTAATTCTGCGTAACGGTCCAAGCTGCCACACCCCATATCAGCACGTTAGCGTACAAACCAGAGAAAAGAAGGAGAAGAAAGGCTAAAACAAATGATGAAATGTTATCTGATAATAATAATAATAATAATTAGGACGATGCCTCTGCACCACTTCTATTGACCTTGAAGTGCATCATCCAGAGCCTAAAATCACTAATCACAGGTTTTGTGTCGACCTTTCACTGAGGAATCTTCATCTTTTTACAGTGCTCTGACCAACAATCACAGACTACATGGAATAACGACGCGTTTTAGTCTGATCACCTTTATTTACCCTGAGCATTAAAGTCACCTGGAATTATGACTACATCTGAACGTTTTTCTTTGTGTAGCTAGGTTGATATCTTCTAATAGAATTCAACGTTTGCATCATCCGAAGTGCAATTGGTGGGGGGTAGGCGATTACGAATGGATATCGTTTGGTTTAGCGATTCTTGCTAGTCCTTACAGATCCTTTTGGTGGTACAGCACGTAGACGACTTCTGACTGGTATCCAGTCGAGAGAGATACACTTGCTGCCCATAGCCCAATGGTATGCCTACACCACCGAGTCCACCTGAGCTACCCACTAGGTGTCTGGATCCTCGTAAGGCGGGTTTTAAAGACTCACTGGCCAGGTGAGGTCAACTTAATAACCACATTTGGACCCTGTATAAGTGTCTCGGTGACTCAGCATACATCCACGGCTAGAGATTCCAGAGTTTTGGCGAGCGACCTGGTGCAGAGTTCGGACGTTGAAAGCTTGTACATGAAGTCGATAGTGACGTCTTAGGAGACTAGGAATGAGGTTTCGATGGCTTTGATCACTCACAGTGGTTACAGAATGAGAGATTGAGGAAAGTGTGAGGGGGTTAATATTAGTATCGGATGGTGAAGGCAAAGGAGGAGAATAGGTATGTCTGACTGGGTCTTAGATACTATTGGAAACCTGCGGGCAGTTGACCTTTCCCGGCTGCCCACACCATGAAAGGATAGGTCTTCTTGAGGTACCTGGGAAAGAGGGCATAGTGTGTGACTGCAGAGCCGAATTGATGTCTGCTTGAGGCCTGTCACACACGGCCGTCTGGTAAATTTGAGATTTTCGTTTCTTGCTTTCGATCCGACCATGAATCCTTGTCGCAGGCATGGGCATGCCGAAGCGGGTTAGGAGTGTGCTGGTTTTGAACCGGGCTTTCCTAACTCCCCTCTCCATAGGGGAGTCAGCATCAGGGTGACACTGCTGGTTATCTAAGTGAAAGGCCTTACTGCTTTCACATCTCCTTCCAGTCAGCAGTATGACTTCACCCTCAAAGGCCAGCTTTTTACTGAACACTAGGATTTCTTTTAACTGCATTAAGCAAATAAATATACATTATTAACATGGGACTTGAAACTAGTGTGCGTTATCCGAGGTACCACGTAGCACATCACATAAAGTTGGAAAGTAGCTAAGAAAGACAAATGATTGGTAGTAATGTAACCATGAATATGTTTATGTCACTGTAGTTAATTGATATCTGTTCCACGTAGGTCTGTGTACCGTAACCTTTAGTTTTAATTTTTTTACAGGACTCAAATCGGCAACCAGAGATTGTACTTGAAATGGTGTTTGCGTAGTTATCAGATGTTTACATTGTTACCCCCTTTTCCTGAAGGCCTACAAGTCAATCAGTTTGTGAGTGTATACCGTCTAGAAATCGTAAACTGCAACGAAATTTTTGCACGGTTGCCGGGTTCCAGTGATTCCGTAGTTATCCGATAGTGATGAAAAGGATCTGATAAGTAATAGATACACGAAGAGTACCGTATTACTAACCGAAATTTAGGCTGCATTGTGTAACTCACTTTGGTCTCCCTATTCTCCCTAACTGAGATGTCTCATATTCGTAGGTACGGTAAGTATCAATGCTAATGTCGAAAAACACAACATTCAACAATTGAAAACCTAATTGAAGCAAGGCATCTCATGTGTAAGGGTTACCTTGTCAAACTGCCAAAGAAGGGAGACCTCAGTGTTTGCAAGAACTGGCGCGGAATCACTCTCCTGTCTACCCAAGTAAAATATTAAGCCGCATCATCCTGGAGAGGCTTAAGGATGCACTGGACTCAAAACTACGACCGGAACAGGCAGGCTTCAGGAAGTACAAATCATGTGCAGACCAAATTGCAACGCTTCGCATCATCATAGAACAGAGCATAGAATGGCAATCAGCTCTCTACCTCAACTTTATCGACTTCGAGAAGGCCTTTGACAGCGTCGACCGAGAAGTAATTTGGAAACTGCTTCAATACTACGGAGTACCGCAAACCTTTATCAGCCTCATTCAACAACTATATGAAGATGCCACATGCCAAGTAATTCACAATGGGAAGCTCAGTGATGCTTTTGAAGTGAAGACAGGAGTGAAACAAGGTTGCCTACTATCCCCCATGATATTTTTGATTGTGGTGGACTGGATCATGCAGCAAACAGTGGGGAGCTGGGAGAAGAGAGGGATACGCTGGACGACGGAAAAGAACCTAGAAGTCTTGGATTTCGCCGATGATGACTTGTGCCTGATGTCACATAAACTTGAAGATCTAAAGGCGAAAACTAACAAGTTGGTAGAAGAGGCAGCTAAGACGGGACTTCAAGTGAATATAGAGAAGACAGAGGTGATGACGATACCGCACCAACAACTCCTACAACAACAACAAACTCCAGTCACCATGAACGGGAGAAACTTAAAGGAAGTAACCCCCTTCACTTATCTAGAAAGCACTGTTTCAACTACATATGGCGGCACAGATGAGAACGTCAAAGCCAGGCAGGATCGGAAAAGCAAGATAGGCGTTCATTAGCCTGAAACCAGTGTGGAGATCTTCTGCACTCAGCATGCGGAACAAGATCCGGATTTTCAACACCAACGTCAAGTCAGTGCTTCTGTATGGCTCGGAGATTTGGCGCGTCACGAAAGGCATTTCCAATAAACTACAGACATTCATCAACAACTGCTTACGCTCGCTACTGGAGATCAGATGGCCAAAAGGAATAAGCAACAAGGTGCTTTGGGAACGAACCAACCAAGAACCTATCACGCAACAAATATGCAGAAGGAAGTGGAGATGGATTGGGCATACACTGAGAAGGCCAACTGGGGACACCACGCGTTAGGCCAGGCCGTCGAGTGGAATCCCCATGGGAAGCGACGAGTTGGACGTCCGAGGGTGACATGGAGGAGGTCGTGCGAGGAGGAAATGAGAGCTTCTGGGCTGTCGTGGGACCAGGTTCAAAAGATCTCAGAGGACAGAGTTCACTGGAGACGTGCTACTGAAGCCCTGTGTTCCACTAGGAACCCAAGGGACTAATAATAATATAATAAAATCTCATGTGTAAACGTTAATACAGTTAAGAGACTTTGTTGTAGTACTTATTAGGTGATTCCTTTGGGAATCAAGCAAAGCTTATTTTGGATTAATCATGGCCTTTTTTCAGTAGCGAAGTTTTAAGTACATTTTAAAATGCCATATTGTTTCCTCATTCCCTTCTTTTGCTTTTCTGCTTATCTTCTTTCACTTAGTCTGATTTCACTTTCAATGACGTTATCGGCGTTCAATTCGGCTGGGCATTTAAGTAACCATGTAGATGTTGCACCTAATCATGCTGGAACCACATTTTCTATCAGCAATTTCTTGGTAAGTCAATTTTAGACACAAATCTGCTGGTTTCCTCTTTGTGCTCACTTATCTTCTTTTACAATGGGTTCCGTGCTTTTCGAATTTGTTTTTGTCACCCTATGGTTCTTTTTGTTTTCTGTTGTTAATATAAAGCAGAATAACTCTTTTAAACTTATTGTTTAGTTTCATCGACTAAATTCCCACTGAGCCCAAAAATAGTATATTCTAAGTAATAATGCATCATTTTATTATGTTTGTCAAATTTTACTGAGTATTTCACCAATTCTGATTAGCTTGACAAGAGAGAGAAATCAGAAGCAACGAAAAGCAAATCAGTGAAGTAGGCAGTTAATAGGTCATTTTAAACAGCATAATCAGGGGACGAAAATTATCTGAAACGTGATGTATTAGCGCTATACATTTCGAACAATCTGGTCACACACTGACTTGTCGGAATGTTAAATGTTATTTATTGTAATTCTTAGCTGCAGCCAAAGCAAGGACTTGAAATATATTTAGTGAATGTTAGAAGTTCTTAAGATTCCCCTGCAAAATCAATCAAGCCACCATGATGTTTTAAATGACAGTTCACATTTTACAATCAAAAGCAACGAACTCCTGATAAAATCCATTTATGGTTAGACAATCCTATGCAGCCTACTGGAACGTTGTTGAGTGATTCTGATGAGATGGAATCTAAGCAGAGGCGATTTAACATCCATGGTAAGATAATAATAATTGTAATAATATAAAACGTTGGTGGATATAGATTATCTACGACCAAAAACCTCAGGGTCTTTAAATGGTAGGAAATTTGAGGACAATATTTCATTTTACTAAGATAATCAGTTGTCATCTTTTCAGTTTTAAACACACAAGGTATCATTGTGCTGATTTTGAAATTGAACTATGAATCGATTAATCTGGTCTTAGTATTCACAAGCACTAGTACGCTAGGATAAAGCAGGGAGAACAAGGATTGTAATTGTAGTAGGTACATATTTTACACAGTCCCAAAAGTAGGTCATATAACCAGTCCGCCAGACAGTTCTGTCAAAAAGTTCATAGCCTCAGTCCCACGGTATCAAATACCTGTACGCATGCTAACATAGTTGTAATAAAAGAGACTCAACTGCAATCTAGTTGACAATCAATAAAAATTATAGTATTAGTCAAAGTCACGCAACAACAATAACCAGTGAGAACATCGTTATACTGGACTTGCCCAGACATAAACTCATACGTGCACCATATACCTGTCTGGGCAGCCATGTTCTTTTTAATGTACTGGCTTCATCAGATTAAAGTAAATTTGGAGGGCTGGTTGGTTTTAAGGGTTCTAGCACTTAAACCGAACACCCTGTATTTAAATGATAAGTTATTGCACTTCTTAAAGCCATTAGGCACTTTAAGTGCAAACTCTTTGTTGCATGCTCACACGTGTGCCTCACGTCCTTTCTATGTTCTTTCTCCTGCATAAACATGTACATACCGTTTGAATGCTAGATGCTTGTGTAATTTTGCGTTATGTGGCTCTGCGCACTTAATAACTCAGTAAATTATTGACGTAGCCTTCCTAATCAGTCTGATAACTTTCTTTGCAACTTGACTTTTAAAAACTAAAAATAGGAAAACTGGCTTTATTTCTGGACTTCTTTATTTTAGCATTTTAAAAAAATTATTATTTCACGAATTCTATCGGGTACCTTTTGGTGTGTGAACGCCACTCAATAATCATCCGAAATTCTGCATCCATTTGGCTTCTGAGGTGCAGTTTACCTGCCCTCTCTATCGCAGCACTGAACACAACAGTTTTTAAGTTTTGTAGGGATATAGAAAGCGCTCTTGTTTTTCAGTTGGCATATATTTCCAGCGACATCTAAATTGTGACAAGTGATCTCGTCTACTACCTACCAGAAAAGTTATTGTTTTTCTCCTGGTTTGCAAAGGGTGTTATTTGCTACATGATTACATATCAGTTTTTCGTCTCAATGTATGAACGTATGTAATAAACACTGAAATCCTGTGGGCAAGTTTTATATTGCTCATTGAGTGGTTTTGTCACATGTAAGTAATACCAAGTTTTAACATACCTTATGATGTACCAACAGTCAAATTTCTGTATTTTAGTTTAACAACAGTATTCCCCCTTAAAATAGATCGCATGAATCAGACTTCTGAAAAGTGACAGAAAGACAAAAAAATGGTTGATAGCAGTTTTTGCATATGCTTAAAAGTAATAGGAATTAAATCTTTATAGTTTTAAAACTTGAGAACCACCACCATGCATCTATAGTATTTCTATTGACTTTAAAAGAATGAGTTTTTAAACTTCAGCCCTAGTACTAATGAATCTTTTCATAGTTGTGAATATATCATATCATCGCACTAAAGTATTTGTACGCCGAAATGGTGTAAGTTTGTATATGAGACTTTTCACCATGCTTGATATAGTACAACTTATGCTACTATCCAATTGTCTAAGCTGAAAAAATGGGATGGTTTTTGAACTCGTCCAGTGATTAGAAGCCGGATGACATTACTGATCTCTACATCAAAGTATTTCTCTTTAACACATACTGTTGTTCGACAACATAGCGGGATCAAGTTGGAACAGTGTTCCAGGTGGCCAGACAAAGAGGAGGCATCAGTCCATAAGATCCCTACCTGTTGTTCTTAGTCGTATGGGGAGATATAGACTCCCTGGTTGGGGTCCCCGAGGCAAAAGAAATCAGTAGTTGAGGACTCTTGGCGACATGGCTGAAAATCGGTTGCAATGGCGCAGATGTATTCACTCTTTGACGTCTTTCAAAACTTGAATATTTGCACTGGCTTTTATCTACAGATTCTTTATTCGGTCACACCTGTGTGTACTTTCATATCACTCCTTTTCCATCCACCTGTTCTTTGTGTACTACTGTGAAGTGTGGCAACTTGTTCCGACCCACCTATGTCTGAGGTCCTTCTTTGATTCCTTCAGTCAGTCACGTGTCAGCCACAATCATTAACCAAGAGCTTGCATTCATTTCGCAATATCACTGCTTGTTGTAAACCAAATGAAAACAACCAGTGACATTTTAGAAAACACTGTATGGCGCCAGTTGCTGTGATTAAAACATAAATTTCGGGTCCTAACTAACCACCTTTATGACAGACAATCAATCTCAGTTTATCAATTATATTTGCTTTATGCTGTCTTCTGGAAACCAAATTCTTTGTTATTCCGCAAACCACTCACTTCCTGCTACCAGTACTACTGTTAACTACCAACTATTATTATTATTTGTCCCTTGGGTTCCTAGTAGAACATAGGGCAGGACTTCAGTAGCACGTCCCCATTGCACTCTGTTCCCTGCAGTCTTTTGAACCTCCCTCCACGACTGCCCACAAGCTTTCATTTCTTCCTTACATGATCTCCTCCATGTCACCCTCACCTCGGACGCCCAACTCGTCGTTTCCCATTTGGATTCCACTCGAGGGCCTGGCCTGGCCTGGCGCGTGATATCCCCAGTCGGCCTTCTCAGTGTATGCTCAATCCAACTCATCTCCACTTTCTTCTGCATATTTGTTGGGTGATAGGTTCTTGGTTGGTTCGTTGGCAGGCCAGAGTGAGTTCCTTGTTGCTTATTCTTTCAGGCCATCTGATCTTCAGTGTAAGTATCGAGTGAGCGTAGGCGACAGTTGTTGATGAATGTCTTTAGTTTGTTGGAAATGCTTTTTGTGACGCGCCAAGTTTCTGAACCATAAAGCGGCACTGACTTGACATTGGTGTTGAAAATCCGGATCTTGTTCTTTGTGGTGGGTGCAGTAGATCTCCACACTGATTTCAGATCAATGAAAGCCTGTCTTGCTGTCTTTCCGATCCTGGTTTTGACATCCTCGTCTGTGCCGCCTGTAGTTGAAACGGTCTTGCCTAGGTAGGTGAAAAAGACTACTTACTTTAGGCTTCTCCCGTTGACGGTGATTGGAGCTTGTTGTTGCTTTTGTTGGTGTTGGTTAGGTATCTTCATTACCTCTGTCTTCTCTACGTTCACTTGAAGTCCTGTATTCGCTCCCTCTTCTGTCAACTTGTTAGTTTTCGCCTGTAGATCTTTGAGTTTGTGTGACAAGACATTAGACATAAATCATCATCGTTGGCGAAATCCAAATCTTCGTCTGGGGTCTTTTCATCGGTCCAGCCAGCGTATGTCCTTCTTCTCGCTCCTCACTGTTTGTTGCATGATCCAGTCCAGTCGAGCACAATCAGGAAGATCATTGGTGATAGTAGGCGGCAGCCTTGTCTTACTCCTGTCTTCACTTCAAAGGCGTCACTCAGCTTTCCGTTGTCGATCACTTGGCATGTGGCGTCTTCATATAGTTGTTGTTGAATGAGGTTGATAAAGGTTTGTGGTATTCCATAGTGTTGTCGCAACTGCCAAATTACTTCTCGGTCAACGTTGTCGAAGGCCTTTTCAAAGTCGATAAAGTTGAAGTGAAGGTCCAGTTGACTGCCATTCTATACTTTGTTCTATGGTGATGCGTAGCGTAGCGTTGCAATTTGATCCGCACATGATTTGTTCTTCCTGAAGCCAGCCAGCCAGCCTGTTCCGGTCGTAGTTTTGAATCCAGCGCATCCTTAGGTCTCTCCAGAATGATGCGGCTTAATATTTTGCTTGCTGTGGGTGGACAGCAGCATGATTCCACGCCAGTTCTTGCAAAGACTTAGGTCTCCCTTCTTTGGGAGTTTGACGAAGTAGCCCTTTTTCCAACCAGCCGGCAGGTACCTTTCCTTCCTTCCTTGCAAACCTTCTGCGGTAGTGGTGTGAGCATGTCCACCGTTGTCCCTGCGTCTGCTCTCAGTGCTTTTGGCGGGATTCCATCTGGTCCTGCTGCTTTCCGCACTTCAGTAGCTTTATGGCGCTACTACTAGCTGGTAACTACTGGTTGGGCTTACTGATGTTAATGAATAAGGTATCAGGTGTAAGGAGATCCTATATTGAGTGATCTAATGAAGTCTTATGAGTAATACCGTCCTTTAAAGATTATTTCTGTAAGATATTCATGATGAAAATTGTTGAAATTTAAAGTGCATGTTTTTTATTTCAACTTAATGCCGCTGTAGTCAAACTCCATATTAAGTAATCACTTAGTGATCTAGTAAATACCATAAATTTCAAGCCATACTCAACCTATTTAGTTACATCGTTGATTACTAGACACACAATTTATGCATATGTTGATTTATTCTGTTCTTGTTATGTTGCAAATCACCAAACGCATTATGTGAAAACTGGTTACATTTTGAAGTTCTCATAATATTTATGCAAAGCCATTACGCATACAAAGTTATTCAGTTTTTAAAATATTTTGCGAAATTTTGGTCACATGTTGAATGTATCCATTTATTGGCGTCTAGCTTTTGATTTTCGAAAGAAACGAGGTTGAAATTCTCAATAAACCACCACCATCATCATCGGTCTATCTAACTTTGCGTCATGCTATGGGACATACCAGAGTAATGTCTTATTCTTTTAATAAATAAATCCGGACAGTTCCAGACTGACTAGAGAACGTGAATCACCAACAGAAACCTACGATCGCTAGACTTTTTTGTATAGCATGATAGTTCAACCTGATGTGCTATCTAGCTAGTTCACGTCCCGATTTCACTGGTCACAATACATGTTTTTCCTTATCACTTTCGGAAGTAAAATCATTAACAGTTAATTCTCACTTATTTTATCATTTTTATTGCATTTCTGTTTTCTAATCCGTCATTTGCAGGCTACTATACCTGGAATAATATGTGGTCCACTGACTACTGAACTGGTTGTCACATCCGGTGGACGTTGGTTTCCGGTTTTCATACTAGCTGGCTTCATCAATGTAGTTGGCGCTGTTGTGTATGTTAGTCAGAGTGCTACAATACAAGTGTTGTAATCTCATGCTGTGTGTACAGCTTCACGTGATCAATAACTTATTTTATATTTCCTTCACTTTGTTCAGTTTCTATACGATGTTTCCATACCTATACTTTTCTTCATTTCAATCTACTGTTATGAAGAAATGTATGAAACGAAGTTCGTTTGTTTGCGTGTCCTACTATCTAGACCGATTTTCTGATTTCTGTCATAATATCGATAAAGAGGTTATCTATAAAGCAGAGAGAACAAATTTTGTGAATCAAAAATTGGTTTTAATTGATGTCATAGTAGAACCTGGGTACTGTGATAGTATGTAATTCCATGTCAGTTTGTTAAGCAAGTAATCCGCATAGTGATGAAAAGGTATTATCTATTGAATGACGTTTTAACATGATTTACTGTTCACGGTCGAATGTGTAGTCTTTCTGTAGACCAGAATATGCACTTGTACTTTAACTCATCTGATATGTATTTAATTGCGTTTGATGAAGTGTTTAAATAAGAAGGGCCAAGTATCGGACTAGCAATACAGAAAACCTGTGACAGGAAATGATGCAAAATTTATTGCAGGGATTGTCCTTGCTAAGTGGTCCAAAAATGCATAAAAGTGTCAGAAAAAGGTGACTGTCACAAGGAAAATACTAAAAAACGGGGACCAAAAACCAGAAGGGTAATATACAGTGAAATGACTCAGAGAGTTCACGTTCAATTCTCATCAAGGGTGAGACTAGGGTAGCGTTCAAACCTTACAAACTAAGAAACAGGCCTCACAGACTGAAAAGTCCTCTAGAGCCTACCAAAAATAGTTTATCTACCAAATTTCATGCAAAGGTTATGAGGTCAAGTACGTTAGTCAAATTGGTCGACTAAGGCCATCTAGGCTAACACAGTACAAAGCCTTAGCCAAACCAATAATTGTGCACCCCCGAAATCTATGACCAAGCCCAACTATAACGATGCATAGATGCGACGGAGTGACTCCTGAAAACTTGTAACAGGAATGAATTACCACGTTTCAGTTGTCTATAAGATTTACTACCCCTGTCACAAAAAAAGAACGCAGAGGATTGAAAGTGAAAGTTGTGGAGTTGGCTTTGATAGCACCATGAACGCCATCGAGTAAATAATACTGTTTCACTATTAAAAAGCACCCGAAAAGGTTATTTTTAGTACATGATTGCGATTTTTAGGGTAACTGACACCTGTCCCATGCTAATGTGAGCGCTCGACAGTAAGTACCTCTGCTGGCGTGACCGTCACTGATGAACCACATTGCTAATTACCAAGCAATAAAATTTATTAACTCTGTGGTTTTGTCGTTTTTTGATGCCAGAAGTGGTTATCTACTGTGATCTGTCCTTCTCAATGTCTGACACTAATTAGCCTATCAGTCCTCCACACGGCCAATCAACTAACTGGTTTAGAAAAAGAATGATTGAGCGAAGAAATATATTCCTTTTCAATTACTTCTTCATCCTAGGCTCTACATTAATATATAGTTTTACAATTTGATCAGACTACCAATCATGTGATGGTGTTTTAGAAATAATGATGTAAATAATCAGTAAAGTTACTGAAATTGAAAATATGAAGCAAGCTATTCTTAGGTAAAATAGGTGATTTCTGATGCGAGTCCAGTCATTCACAATAAGCGATTACGTAATTATGGGAAAACAGATGAAGATAGACAGAAACGAGGAGGGGAAAAGGTGTACAAAGTAATCCCAAAAGTTACATTATGTCGGTGTCCACGGTAAGGAAAGTGGTCAAATGAACTTCTGAATACAAAGGCTAGGTTTGTAAAGGTGGATTGCAATCGCTTCTGCTATGTGAAGGAAGCGAGTGCGTAATACATGTAAATTAGTTGGAATCTGATGAATGATTTTGAAAGCTTTTCTAGTATCTACCTGATGTCCCGTGTCAACTTGATGAGCAAGTGTGGAGCTATTTGTTCTAAATTGTGCCTTCCTCAATCATGATGGGTGGTGCTCAAAAATTCGACGATGGAACTACCTCATTGTACGCCCAACGTAACTAGCTCCACATGAGCAGTTGAATCGATAAATGCACATAAAAGTATCAGAATCAGGCAGGTTATCTTTATTTCTTGCAGCCAGGATTGCCCAGTTGTAGAAGATGGAACATAATTTACCGACTGGGGAGGTCTTATGCAAGACTAATGGGTTGTATAGGGTATCATTTTAAATGCCTTGGTTGTGGCACGTTGCCAATGTGTTCATCGAGTGCGCCAACACTAACTGGTTTTAATTTTAGAAGGATACTGACCCCCCCTCCTATGTAGCTAAGTAATGCCTTGCAGAACGTGCGCCTCACAAATTTATAACTAGATAACAACTAATGAAGCTATCAGGTCCTAATTGCGGGTACTGACAGAAGCATACACATAATATTGTAGTGGGCGTCGCTGATAAGAATGGATATAAGTAGCATGGATTGAGAGCGTGGCAGAAATAAGGGAATTACCAGCCATGGGTAAAAATTCTGCCGAAAGCAACGCAAGGTAAAATGCAGGCGTATTACAGTGTACGTTGCTGATAATGTATGAAGACCAAATCGAGAGAGAAGCAGAAGAGGAAACGAAGCACATTTTGCCATTGACGGGTTTAGTGCAAGGTCTAGGATATGTAACGCCTAACGTCCCAATTGTTAACAACACTCAGAAATTCCTACTGTCTGTCGCCTTGTTTCTTCAGATAGAGTCGCTGCCTCTAGACATGCGGAAAATTCCGTGGACTGCAATATGCGAAAGTGGATATATAAAAGCTTCTTTCACGCAACTAAAGATGCGGACGGAGAAAATCAGAGACCGAGATATAAAGGTAAGGTCGCCGGGTGAGGTAAGTCGTTGCGAGGTAAAGTGAAACAAGCATAAGACGGCCAGGAAGAGTCAAGAATTCTCACTGCAACTTGGCCAATACCTCTCGAAGCTAGTCACCAATAAGCACCAGTTCAATTGAATTTTGAGGGAGTTGTGGGATTTGGAAATATTTCAAGTTGTTATTCATCGTAGACTGACATCAGTCGGAGGAAGAAAGGAGACGTGGGAGCACTGGACAGATGATTCGTCCTAGTATGGGACTCGTCAGCAGTGCGCACCCACGAACCCGTCAGGCATCGAACCCGCCACCTTCAGGTTCCCTGGCCAGCACGTTGCCATTGATCCACTGGGTCACAATCCAATCCTCCATATTTCCAACTTCTGTTAGCTCACGCACGATATAGCACAACCGCCACCCAATGTCATCGTTGAGTAACTGTCCTCACGACCATAAGGCTTTGCCCCCACCGGTCACGACTTCTCATTGCAACTTGGCCAATACCTCTCGACGCTCATCTTCTTTTATTGCCCTTTTTTTCCTGTCCAATTTAACTTCTTTTCATTGCGGCTTCTTGCTCACGGTGCTATTCACCTCCATTTTTGAAGTCTATTAGCACATTTTCGGCATTTGTTTCTTGTGTTATTTTTGATAAATCCTTCTGCTTATTACGTATTTACGTCTATTCTGAAGGTTGATATCGTTTATAGTAGTTGTTTGATTTGCACGCAGCATAGATTGAGTGTTGCGATTGTCTTCAAGGTTTTTCTTCCGAAATGACATTCTTTATTGCTTTCGGCTGTTCTTGGGATCTAGTATCACCTCTCTTTTCTTGCAATCTATTAATTGGTCTCAGAGGATCCTAAGGCGCTCAGGAGCGTTTTTAAATTCCAGTCCACAACACAGTACAAAAGAACAGAGACCAACGCATTGTCAGATAAATATAACAAGAGAGATATATATCAACGCGTTATGACTAGATGTACAGTGAAAAAGGTACCTATTAGCTAGGTACTGGCACACGTTGATCTATGTAGAAACGTGCACAAATCAGATAGTAACAACAAAAATTCCCAGTCGTACGTTAATTGTGTTAAGAACAAATTATTCATGACAAAAAAAAACAAAGCAAAATAATGCTGGCTTACCTCATTCTTAAGTTGGTGTGGTGCGGTTTAAAGGCACTACTAAAACCACTTTTTCCGCTGAAACGTCGGCTTCTTCATATGTGTTCAAAGAATTTAAGGCATGCATTTCGTTCGACGTAACTGCTACCACAAATGCACGCAAGCTTGTACACACAACTAGAGGTACTGTTTTGATGAGTGGATAATACTTGTTAAAATATAGAGTTCAACATGGGAATATGAAAGCAATGATAATTCACCTTTGTAGAAATCGTCTTGCGATGTGGAAATAATGATACTGCAGTGCACATCCTTTGCAATTGAAAAGTGTGACGCCTATAGTAAACATTTCAAATGTCAAAATAATCCCTTACTTTGTCGACGGCGGGCTTTAGGTCTGTAAGTTTGTTTTATCATGCAGTAACTCCCCGGGCAACATTCCCTATTTCTGTGTCTTCTTTGGGCTGATCTACAGTAACTAACTCAGAGTCCCTAGATTAGCCATTAATAGACAGATAGGTTAACATTCCTCCCCTAAAATAATCTCTTTACCTCTGACTAACAAATAAAATTCTAGTCTGAGCACAATTTACTGGGTGTTTTCTTATTTGTCTTTGGTCATCAGTTCTTATACCTTAGTAAGATACTGATTAGTATGGTACTGGCACACATTCATTTAAGTACGGCGGTCAATTTTTAGGGAACAGCAACACAACCAAACTCTTGCAGTTATATTCATAGGTTCATGCATCAATGAACTACAAACCTCCTCAAATTCTCAAGCTTACGCCTCAGGAAAACAAATGATTTCAATCGGCATCGTATCGACATAGAGTATGAAGCAGGTACCGTAAACTCCTCAAATGTAGTAAACAAACAACATAATTCGAAACTTCTCAAGTTCTCTGAGACTGTACCGACCAAATAACTGAAACCGGAATTGTGTTTAAAAAGAAGCAGCGATAAGTCTTTCTTTATCCTCATAGCCTCTTATTTGATGAAATGATTTTTGACTGAACTTTTCTTCTCTTGGTACAAAATTTGATGATCAC